TTAATAAGAATAAGGGCGAATAGAATAGGATTAAGGGCGAATGTAGTAGGACGAAATATTAATAATAATCAAAAGAATAAAAATGCGGTTGCGACTACGAATATGTCCAAACGACTGAATTATTTGCAGCACCTCAGGTTTGTGCTTCAGGGATGCGTCTCTCGACGATGTCCCGACCCCACACGTCCACGCTGCCGCGCACGGAGACAGGAGGAGGAACACACACACACACACACACTCACTTTTTGCTGCGTCGGCGGTTGGGCAGAGCCACTGCGCTGGCGATGGGGCGTTAGTGGGGTGCACAGAACGCGAACTGGGACGCCATGCGCGGGGGAGAGAGGAGGACGCCCGGCGCGGGCAGGAGGGAGAAGGAAGTCGGCCCGCTCAGAGCGAGGCCAGGCGACGGATCACACACACGCACAAACGCACGCACACGCACGCACACACACAGACACACACACACACACCCACACACACACACACACACAGATAGTGACAGAAGAGGGGGGATCGGAGAGCGGAGTGTGGCACGTGTAGCAACAGTAAAACAATGGGGGGGGGGATCACGATGACGGCCCAATGGGCGCCCAAGACGGCCCACGGGGGCCTCAACAGGGCTCAAGAGGGGTGACTGAAACTGAAATTGCGAACCCTTCGCTCAAAAAAAAGCCCCTGAGACCGCCAGCAGGTGCAGGCCCCAAAGAGCCCCCCCCCAGAGGCCCCCGAATGGACCCCCAAAGGCCTCCACAAAAGCATCACCGCGGGCTCCGTCCTTTTTCTGGGGGTCGGCGAAATGGCGTCAGCCTCCAGGATCAAACAATTGCGGGGATCATGATAATAGAACAAGAAAAAGCGTCAACAGTTTATTATGATGACGTTTTACTTCTTCGGTAATGTGGCTCCCAGCGTACTTCAGGACCACATCCCAGGAATGGTTTCGAGCAGCCAGGAAAGTGTCGAAACAGTGTCGAACGAATGTCGCCTCCCAGGGCCCGACACGTGAACACCCTCAAATTTCGGTACTTCCTGGGTGCTCGAATTATTTCTGGTGGTCACGGCTAAAATAGGTTGGAACATAATTCTCTTGCACAGCTGTGCTCTAGAGCTCGGACATCTTTATTTTCGTCGTGGTTCTTGGTGGTTTGTCCCCCTCGGCCCCTCCCCCCCTGAGCCTGAGCTCCAGCTCCCCTGGGCCACCCCCCCTTGGGAGCCTTCCTCCGTCCAGGCTTCCCAGGGCAGCCCCCCTGGGCCGGTGGTGCGTCCCCCTCGGCCCCCCCCCCTGAGCCTGAGCCCCAGCTCCCCTGGGCCACCCCCCCTTGGGAGCCTTCCTCCGTCCAGGCTTCCCAGGGCCGCGGAACCGTTTACTTTCGTCGTGGTTCGTCGTGGTTCGTCCCCCTCGGCCCCTCCCCTGAGCCTGAGCCCCAGCTCCCCTGGGCCACCCCCCCTTGGGAGCCTTCCTCCGTCCAGGCTTCCCAGGGCAGCCTGGGCCGCGGAATCCTTTATTTTGGTAGTGGTTTGTGGTGGTTCGTCCCTCTGGGCCCCTCTGGGCCGCGGACATCCTTATTTTCGTCGTGGTTGCTCGTGGTTCGTGGTTCGTCGTGGTTCGTCCCCCTCGGCCCCTCCCCTGAGCCTGAGCCCCAGCTCCCCTGGGCCACCCCCCCTTGGGAGCCTTCCTCCGTCCAGGCTTCCCAGGGCAGCCCCCCTGGGCCGCGGAACCCTTTATTTTCGTCGTGGTTCGTGGTGGTGCGTCCCCCTCGGCCCCCCCCTGAGCCTGAGCCCCAGCTCCCCCGAGCCACCCCCCCTGGGAGCCTTCCTCCGTCCAGGCTTCCCAGGGCAGCCCCCCTGGGCCGCGGAACCTTTTATTTTGGTAGGTGTTTATGGTGGTCGGTCCCTCCTTTGTGCAAGAGCCATGGCACGCGTGCCACTTGTAATTCTTCGAGGTGATTCGGATGATTGTGATCCTGCGTCTGATGATGTTTTTGACCCCTACCACGGTGGAGCGTGAGTCGGGGGTGCGCAGCGGCACCGGCTGTCTCGAACCAGCCGAGCGGCTCGCGCTCTCTTCTCGGCGGCGAGCGAGAGGGGGTAAGCGAGAAAGGGAAGCCAAAAATCCCTCTCCATCATAACCACCCCGACACGCGAAGTCGTTTGGTAAACGCGCCCAAAGAAGGGATCAACACAGGGCAGGGCTGTTTAGCGAACGCCCAGGGCCGTTGAGTAAACGCAAATTGTCCGGTCTGGGTGGTTTTCCCTCCCTTCAGAGACGGAGAAAGTCTTCTCATAATGCGGCGGGACCGCTCAGAAGCCCTTCGCGCCTTCCGGAGAGTTTTCGGTGTCTTCGTGGAAGGGCCAGAAAACTGCTCAGGAGGCCGCTGGACTCCCGAGCCTTCTGAGGAGGCCCGCCCCCTCTCACTTCCCCCCCGTGCTCGCCGTCGACCTGCTCTCAACCCGAAAGGGGTCAGTCAGCAATCCGCCGGCCCCTCCTGGTTGCACCACATGAGCAAGGCGGGCAGGGAGTGATACCATTTTGCGGGATAGGGGAGGGGTGTACGCGTCATGTTCCAACGCCACAGATGCGCTCCATGTTTGCATCCCCAGGTCGCCAGGGCTGGCCTCAACAGGCCCCCCGGGTAGTCCCAGCTGGCCTCGACAGGCCCTCCGAATGGCCCAGGGCAGCCTCAACACAAACCCTGGCTCCTAAGTGCCAACTTCTCGTTCTCCTGCTCCATCCTCGATATCCTCGATATCCTCCTCATCATCCGATTCGCCTTCAACGTTTTCTAATCCCTCTACTCCCCTGCGCGAAGGGATCAAGCTTCTAACAGACTCCCAGCAAGTCACCTGCAGCCAAGAATACGTGTGCTCCCCAACCCCCTGCTAACACAAACTGCGCCATTGCCTGAAACGCCCGCGCGAATGTTGAAACGATGCAGCATCGACCCAATCGATCGAGCCAGCGAAGAGGAGACGACTGACGTCGAGAATGGCGTTGCGCAGTAAACGCGCGAGGGTGGATTTGTTATCTGTCCCTGGGCTTTGACATGAAGCTGAAAGACGCTTTTGGGGTCAGCTTTGGGTCTGAACTTCTCCATTCGGAGACGACGCGATTGTGCAGAGTCTGCGCAGGACTCCTGCGCAGGAATTGCTCCGGGACTGCATAGGAACATGCAGTGCACAAGTACTGCGCGGTGGTGCGCAGGGACTACGCTTAGTTCGGGCGTGTCCTCCCACAGGCGGACTTCGGACGGATACAAAAAAATCAGCAAAATAGCCAAACATAATCAACAGATAGTCCCCAGACTAGTTGTGACTATGTCTGAATCTTTCTCCTGTAGAGGGACGTGCCCGGCTCCAGACTACGCAGGAGCGCGCAGGGCTTGCGCATCCGCGTAGGAAAGGCGCAGGGACTGAGCCGCAGAGGCTGCCGGGGGGTGCAGGGCCTGCTCCCAGCGGGGGCAGGAGAGAGCACGAGGAAGGACGGCCGGGTGTATGCTCTCTCGGGCATGCACCATGCAGCCGCTACCCTTAGGCCAGGCGTTTCCCCCTACAGGCAGATGTCGGAGGACAAACAACAAATATTCAAACCAGATTCAAAAAGAACAGCAAATCGTCCCAAGAGTCGTTTTCTATGTGGTTTGTTCAAACTATTTTTGACTACTTCTCCTGTGGAGGAACATGCCCGACTCAACGCTACCCCAAAGCTGCTTCCCAGGAGATCCAAAACACCCGACAGAATCCTTTACCACGCCTTCGGCACGAAGAGCTCCCGGGAGCTCCTCGGGAGCTCTGGGGAGCTTCCCGACACACTCGGAAGGTTCTTTCGAACCGCTTCAGATCGCCACAAAAGGCCCCAGAGTAGTGCAAGACATCTTCAAGACTGACTACCTACCAGACCACCCCAACCCAACCCGAAGACCCGAATTTCGGGTTGGGGGGGGTACGGGTTCCATACGTGTTTTCTCGATGTTCCACGACCCCCCCCCACTGGAAATCGAGGATAAATTGGGGCCTTCGGGTTGGGTTGGGGTGGTTTGGTGGGTGGTGAAAGACGGCCCAGCGTGGGCCCGGGCCTGCCCGTTCCCAAGGAAGCTTCCCGGGGGGGGCAGAAAAAGGGGGCCCCGAAGAACACTCCCATGGACCTACTCGCGGAGGGTGCCCTGACCAGCCATCCCGTGGCGAGTTTCAAGCGACGAGGGCCGAACAGGAGGCCCCAAACGAGGCGAAAACAAAGGGAAGGGCATCAGCATCAGAAACGGAAGCTCTGCGTTCGGCCGTGCCATGCGCGCTACTGCCAGTGCGCCACAAGACTGGAGGTGCTCACGACAAAAAGGAACGACGACACAACATCCACCCAAAAGGAGAAGGAGAGGACACAACATCCACCCAGATGAAACAGAAGGAGTAGAACAAGGCGACAAGAAACACAACACCGAAACTGACAGAGCGGCCTGCTTTTCAGAAGACCGCGTGCGTTGTTGCACATGCGTCCGGGGAGTCCAGGGCTAGCCTTCGGCCGGACATGTCCCCTAGAGGCGGATTTGTTGGAGGAAAAACAGTAATAGTCAAAAACATAAGAACAAATCACAAAGGCAAGACAAATCATGATTATATCATTTTAACCTATTTCCGTGATCCTGGAATATTCATCCTGAAGAGGGACATACCCGACTAAAATCCCGGGCTTGCCCTCCAACAAAAACAGTCGACGCAGACGAACCAAGATGACGAGACGACGTGGACGAAACCACGGACCCAGACGAAAGAAACAAAGTAAGGCAAACACCAAAACTGACATGACCCCCTGCTTTTGAAAGAAACATGCGCGCTGTTATAGATCCGTCACCAGACCCCATACTCGTTCAAAACACGGGGGGTCGACACAACCCCGGAAAAAAATGAGCCTGGACAACGCAGACGAAGCATAGGGAGACAACACAAGGACGAACCAAAGGGGGACATCATAAAGAAGCAAGGAAGCGCAAGAACAGGGTTAGCTCCAGGACGCTCCGTCCTGCCTGTTGTGCGCAAAAGCATCGCAAAGCCAACATGTGCACCCTCCGCATGGGCTCTCGTGTCGTCCACGACGCAACCTGCGCGGCAAGACTGGGACGCGACGCACGTCGCGCGCGACACAGCAAAACATCGCTGTCGCCATAGCGCCGCTCACATTCTCTGTGAGTTCCGCTCCCGCTTTTGGCGCATCCATCCTTAATCCACATGAAGTGCTTGTAGATATGCACTCCCACTTACTGCCTCCCCCGTGCCTGGGCGCGCAGTGGGGTGCCGCACGGCCCATGCAGCGTTGAGAGCCGAGCCCCCCGCCCCAGGAGGACCCCCGAGACCGCCAGCAAGCGCCCTCGATGGCCCGAAAATGCCCCCCAAGAAGCCCCCCAAAAGAGGTTCCCAACCGGCCCCCGAGACGCCCCCCAGAGGCATGCAACCTGCTGCCATGGGCCCCCCGAGAGGCATCCAGAGAAACCCTTGCAAGCCTCCATGAGGCCGCTGAGCGACATCCCAGGCACGGTGGCAGGATGGGCCACCAGATCCGCCGCCCCCATGCTGGCTTGTCACACGGGTACACGGCGTGCTAGACGTCAGATAATTTTCAAACATCCCAAATGGGCATTCGGCCCAACCCGCCAGCCACCCGGAGAGTCGCATAAACTTAGGTCTCCATGGGCCTCCCTCCCCACGACTGACACACAATGTGTTCCAAGACAGTCAAGCTGGCCTCGATGGCGGGCAAGATGGCTCCAAGAGAATCCAAAATGGCCGCGCGATGCTTCCAAGACTGCCCAAAATGCACCCACGACGGCCCGAGATGGCCCATCCCCAAAATGGCCCAAGGCGGCCCAAAAGGCCCCCGTAGAAGCCTCCAAGACGGCCAAAGAGGCCTCCAGAGGGTGCCCCAGGAAGGCCCCAAGAGGCCAAGATCATTGGTGTGCCTTGAATTTTTGAAGTACTTGGGCCTTTGCTTCTTGTCGGCCTCCCGACGGCCCAAGACTACCCAAGAGGCCCCCAATATCGCCCCCATAGCGCCCAAGAGGCTTTCAAAATGGCCCCAATACAGCCCAAGAGGCGCCCAAGATGGCCCCTAGTGGGTCCAAGACTGCCCAAGGGGTCTTCAAGACGCCAAACGTGGCCTCCAAGACGGCCCTGACGTGCCCTAGGAAGGCCTCAAAACGGCCCAGAGTGGCCTCCAAGGCGGTTTCCAACGGCGTCAGACGGGCCAGGAAAGCCCTACCCCAAGAAGCCCCCGAAGGACCCCAAGAGGCCCAAGGCAGGAGCGGCGGTGATTCGCTGTAGGCGCCGTCAAAAACATCGAACAACTGTCCGCATCAACGACGCGGGCGTCCGGGGTGGAGGGGACATCCAGGGCGCCGAGTACTTCATGTGTTTAACTGGAGTTTTGTTTGTCACCGTTGGGGTATTCAGTGTGCGCTCCGCTGGGGCTTTCTGCGGCCCGATGGGCTTCATTTGGCCGAACTGATTGCATTAGATTCGCAAGACGATGATCAACGACCAGTATGCTGCTTGATGAACCGATCGGTTTTTATTGATCTCAATTTCAGATGCGGAGTCTTGTCTCAAATGTTGTGTTGGCCTTTCGGTGTTCGCCACCATGCGTCATCATCTGTGAAAGGTAATTACTTGCGTAGACCCCAAGATTCCAGCCACAGCCAGCGCATGGGAAGCAACGAAGTGCAAAGCCATGTCTAGCAATGCTATGTGTGCAAAGCAACGCAGAGCAATGCAAAACAAACACTGCAACACGCTCACACCACGCAATCGTTTCCATTCTCGCGCAGTGTAGCTACACCCGGCGCCATCATCATCACGGTCACCAATGCCATCGCCGTCGTCGTCATCATCCTCACCAAAACCAATAATAACATCAACAATGTCATCATCAACATCGGCATATTCGTCGTCGTCGTTGCCATCATCACCGTCACCATGATAATGCTGATCAGCATCTTCACCATCACCAGCATAATCAGCATCGTCATCATCATCATCGGCATCGGCATCGCCATGGCCATCGTCGACGTCATCACCATCATCATCATCACCATCATCAGCATCATCATCATCACCAGCACCAGCACCATCATCATCACTCAGTATCCACATCGTGATACCGATCATGATCATCGTCATCGGCATCCTAGCCATCACTATCAACTTCATCATCGTCACCAACACCATGAACATTATACATCATCATCATCGGGCGGGGCACCATGCCCGTGTGAGGGGGCGTTCTAGAGGGAATCGAATGCCTTGTGACAGCTACTGGGGAGTGGCGGACATTTCGAGCGGTCTAGGGTCGCAGCGCAGCACTGACGAGGATTCGCCTCGTCCTCTGAATCCTCGTCCTCCTCATCTTCGTCCTCCTCATCCTGACTCCTCGTCCTGACGAAATTCCACATCTCTTCGTCCTCCTCCCCCTCGTCCTCTAAATCCTCGTCCTGCTCGTCGTCCTCACGAGTCTCATCCTCCTTCTCACGTTCCTCCTCGACCAAGGTGGGCGTCGGGTGGGGCATCGGGTTGGACGTCGGGTCGGGCGTCGGGTCGGGCGTCGGGGAGAGCGTCGGGGTAGGCGTCGAGCCGGGGAGGATCAGTGGACAATCATGCTTGGTACCGGATGGTCGAGGTACCCGTCGACGTGGAAGTGGCCGGGCTCTGGTGGCCGTGGAGGTCCCAGAGGCCGCGCTGCCTGCGACGACGTCGTGCCAGAGTTAAGTCGGGCGTGTCCCCCTACGGTTGGGGGCGGAAAGATAGCGTGGAAAGTGGCGCCGCCGGCCCGCTTATTGCACGCTATCCCCCACCATGGGGATAGCGTGCACGGAGGAAGCCCTGTCAGAGGGATAGCGTGCACAGAATAATCCCTCGCAGGGGGGTCGCCTTACAGGGATAGCGTGCACGATCTGGAAAGCGCGCGCGAGCAAGGGCCAATGCGCGTCGCCGCCACGCTATCCCCCCCCGTTGGCGACAGCGGGGGAGGAGGAGGAGCTGGAGGAGGAAGAGGAGGAAGAGGAGGAGGAGGAGGAGGAGCAGGAAGAAGTATGGGAGGAGTGTATACAAGCGATGTGTTGTAAGCTATGTGTTGTAAGCTATCAAGTCCCATTTGTGCGGTGCGGCGCAAGCTACGCAGCGTAATTTATGTGTTGTAAGTTGGGCGGTACGCACTATTTGGCGCAATATAAAGTTCTTGACGCTTCGCGTATCCCCACCAGTCCATCCAGAAATGACACCCGGGCGAGTTGAGGTGAACAGGGAAGTGTAGGAGCAAATAGGGGGACAGCCGAACCGTTCGAAGGAGGAGGAGGATGAAGAGGAGAAGGAGGAGGATGGATGGATGGATGAGGGAGGAGGGAAAAGGATGATGAACAAGATGAGGAGGAGGAGGAGGAGGAGGAGGAGGAGGAGGAGGAGTGAGGAGGAGGAGGAGGAGGAGGAGGGCGAGCAAAGGAACAGAGGCCTCTTGGATGCCTCTCGGAATCATCGTGGGATATCTCTTGGGCGCTTATTGGAGGCCTCTTGGGGCGTCTTGGGGGTCTATTGGCGGTCCGGGGGGTCTCTTGGGCGTATTGGGTGCCTCGGGGGGGCCTCTTGGGGCCGCTTGGGGTCCTCTTCGGGGCCTCTTGGGGACCTCTTGGGGACTCTCGGGGCAATCTTGGGGCCTCTTTGGGCTTCCTGGGCGCATCTTGGAGCCATTTTGGAGGACATCGATCACCAAAGAGGCTTCGGATGGCCATCGGAAGCGAAAAGGCGAGAAAGCAACACACATGGATTTCCTTTAGGTTTTGGAGGGATGTTGGCCTCTTCGGGTCCTCCTTTGGGAGCTCTTTGGCCACTTGGAGCCGTCTTGGGGCGGTCCTTGGGTTTCTTGGAGCATATTGGGAGCCATCTTGAGGCATCTTGGGCTATCTTGACCCATCTTGGAGGCATCTTGGGCTCTCCTGGGCCCTCTTGGAGCCATCTTGGGACATCTTGGACGCTGCAACAACCCGCGGAACGCCCAGTCCAGTTCCAGGGTAGGGGGTAGGAGGAGGGGAAAACCCCTCCCCGAAGTGGAAGAAGGAGGTTGGAAGAGGAAGAGCCCTAGACCACCTTCGCCCAGAGGGCTGGTGGGATTTCTACGATAAGCGGTGTAAGCTGTGCTGTTGAAGTTGCGTTGCAACAGGCATGTGCCAGGCGAAACCTCGTCATGGGGATCGTCTGACAGGGATAGCGTGCAGCCCACGCGCGTCGCCGCCACGCTATCCCAGTGGAGTTGGCGACACTTAAGGAGGATAAGGGGGAATATGAGGATGATGAGGAGGAGTCAGGGGAGGATTGTATACGACCGATGCGGCGTAAGCTATGTGCCGTAAGCTATGCTGTGCAGTATATGTGGTGTAACCGATGCCTTATAAACTGTGCGGTGCAAGCTATGAGGTGCAATTTCTGGCTGCAGCCAAGTCTTATAAACTACATTGTGGAAGCTACGCGTGGCAACGGGCGGGCACCAGGCGAAACCTCGTCATGGGGGATCGCCCCAAAGGGATAGCGTGTAGATAGCCGCCGCGCGTCGCCGCGATAGCCGGCGCGCGTCACCGCGGCGCTATCGCCGTTGAGAAGGCAACTGTTGTGGAGGAGGGGGAGGTATCAGTGGGATGCAGAGGACCAGGAGGAGGGACTCAGCAGGAGCAGGACGAGGAGGGAGGGAGTTGAGGAGGAGGAGGAATAAGGAGGAGACACAGGCGAGGAGGAGGAGGAGGGAATGTTGCAGGAATAGCGTGTCGGGCTTCACACGTCATCGCGCTCGGTACCCCTGAAATTGTAGCCAGCCTTGAGCCAATAGTATATATTGGGAGCGTGCTTGCTCTCAAATAAAACGTGTATTCTTTTGGGTGGCAGGCGGGAGTGAGCAACAACCCTCATGTAAACAACAAGCCCAGCGCGCCTGAATATCCGACACAATAGCTGAAACAGACCAGCGAATGCCGCGAGACAGTTCGAGGGGAGGGGCATCCTCCGACAGGTTACAATGCGCGATCGCACAGAGATCGGGAGGAAGGGAAGGGAAGATTTTTCGTTGAAG